GAGGAGAAAATCTTTTAGATAACTTGCAATAAACAACCATGAGACCAAACAACAGAGACTGCTGAGCCTTTCTTTGGAAGCACGGGGTGGAGGAGAGACTTTTCCACCACACAGAGCCCCTGAACCAGGCCTGGGGGTTCCATCACACTGCCAGAGCCCTGCAAGGGGGGATGATGTCCCCAGAGCACAGATAAGGTCTCCACAGCATGAAAGCTTTGGGTTTACCCTTCCCTGTGAACACCTTTGAAATTATTAAGGGAACTTCTAGGATGTTGCCCTGGAAGAATTCACCACAGGCTTTGAGAATGTCCTAAGGGTGAGTCAAAATGGGCTTCTCCCACGGTGTCCTGCAGCTGTGTTAATCTGCCCTTTCTCACATGTCACTGCCCTCTGTACTGTCCCTCTGTCCCCAAATCATTGGTTCCTGACCCCATACTTAACCGAGGACACTCACTGTCCTCTCTTTGTCCCTGGATTCCTTCAGTGTGATTCTACAATAAACCTCACTGGAAGCCTATACAGAGACCCCTTCTGTCTGTTTTTGCTGACCTAGCTGTGGTGAGAGTGTGGACCGAGTGACTGTACTGGCCTGAGCAGCTTTCTCAGAAGATGCTTTTGGGAAAGGCAGCAGCAAACCCCATGCATTGGTAGCAGGCTGCTGCCCTTCCTCTCCTCCAGGCTGTGCCTGCACGTGCAGGCAGCCCAAACACACACAGACACCCCTTCATCTGAGGGGTTTGCTGCCTCTAACCCCCAAATTCCACAATAAGAAGCAGCTGAGCTCACCACAGCTCCAATTTCACACCCTGGTTCCATCCTTACCAGCTTGGTTTTGTCCATGGCTGCCAGCACCGCAGCGTTGAGGGTTTCCAGGGCGGAGAGCACATTCCTGTATTCCCCGAGGTATGCCGAGAAATAATCTGCAGCAGGACAGAACCCCATGGTCAGCTTCCATCTCTGCCTCCCCTGCTCCCACACACAGCCAGAGCTGCAAGGGGGGATCCCCCTCCCTTTCCAGAGTCATTCTCCCACTTGGACTGAAATGAAAAGTC